AGATGGGTGACCGCTTGGGAAAACCAGCTGTTGTAAGCTTGGGTGTGTGCTTGGGTTAATGAATAATGGCTTGGAATTGTTAATCGCAGAGCCGAGTTCCAGTTCCATTTTAAGTTCTTCATATTCACTTGAGCGCAAATATTCTTGGGAAAGGTACGAATTCGGCTCTTTTCCCAGAGATAAGGGCTTAATTAATATTTGTACCACTAAAACTATTATTATCTCCACTAAAAAAATTAAATGCGTACACAATATTTATATTCCGTTATTAAATCACCCATAGATGTTGATATACCGCTGAACAAATTCAGTATCCAAATACACTTGGTGAAGTTGGGTGAGCAAAGTTGTAACAACTAAGATGAGGAGAAAAGTCCGTGCGTAAATATTGCAAATAATAATGATTATTCCTCATTCCAGAAATTCAAATTATCTTAATCTTATTAATAATAAATTCACGTATTAAACTAATTACGATAATGAAAGTTAATAAAATAAATTCGAAATGATTAAACGGTATATTGAAAATAATTAAAGAAGCGAATCATCTTGTCTATACTTGTTTGAAAAATAATGTCTGGTTTTACAATAAAAAATTCTTCCTGAATTTACGTATTTAAACAGTTTAAATGAGTCAAAATCATAACCCTGGCCATCTGTTTATATCTGCCATAAAATTAAAAATTTTTTAAAGACTTTGTGAATAAACTGTAAAGGTTTATAAAAATACTTGAATGCAGTTTCTTCATTAAATAATTTGTTTAGTTATGTTTTTTTCCAAGCACATCAACACCTTTGTGGTATATTTAATACTGAAATCTAAATATTTTGTAAAAAATTATGGTTTCATGTTTTTTTAACGCAATTGTATGTTTTTTAGTAAAGTTAGAATTTATTGTTTGCCATTTTGCTATAAATTCTATTGTTGCAAATTCTACTATAAATAGCTATTGTTGATCATTTTACTTTAAAATTTATTGGTAATTTTACTATAAATATGTATTTTTGGTAATTATTTTATATAAAATGTATTGTTAGAATTTTAATGTAAAATATATTCTGAAACTTTGACAGTGATTTGTGTTTGTTTGGTGGTTAACTATTTGCACTTTAGCTAGGACCCTAACAGGTGCTACCACGCCAGGTCAGCGTGGATCTGGGGACAACAGCTAGTAAGAAGTCATTCCACGTTCCTCAAGATCACTAATATGCCGATCAAATATCTTGTTTCCGGATGTAGTTTATTGTCAAACCCATGATTATTCATAGAATAAAATAAACAATACACTTCAAGGAGCACCAAAGAACAGGGATTGCCATGTGCTACAAAAACAATTATAAAAATAAGAAGTCAAATTTTTATCCTGTTTTCAGAACATAAATGTCGAAAATTGTAAACAAGGAAGCGTACCATTTCGTGCCCCAACCAAATATTTCTGGGTTGCATTTTACAGGATGACAGCTTCGCATGTAACAACATACCTGACCTTTCCTCATCTAATAAAACGAAGATTTCTCTGATATAATTCCCGTGGCAAAGCACACACACACACACACACACACACACACACACACATATATATATATATATATATAGATAAATAGATAACGTGGTCTTTTTTTATTTAAAATATATATATATATATATATATATATATATATATATATTTTTTCGTGATGGGTTATTTTTTTTAAAGGATTAAAAAATATATACATTTCTTTTCATTTTCGATAAAAGACATGTAATTAATAAATAAATTTTTGTGTCAGTACACTTTTCGTTGGCCTCGAATTTTTCATCTTTCCTGGCATTTTCCTTTGGCGTTTGAGCATGCTAAGCCGCTAAATCTAATCTGTATGCCTGGATTGATATTTTCTCATTGTTTCTGCTAAAGCTTTTTAAAAGGGTACAATTCGATTCTAACTCAAATGTCCATCGACACGATTTCTGCTAAATTCTGAGCGAAGCCTAACCTGCAAAAATCTCTGTAAGAGGATTCGAGGGAGCCAGTTAGTGTTGTAATTTAATTAACCTACTGTTGAAATGTATCTATATTCTTCGATTATTTTGCCTTTTCTTTTGTTTTGTGATCATTTCACCCACAAGAAATACAACTAAGTTACTAGGATGCAACATTATTACTGAGTGTTAGAGAATTTGAGAAAAAAAAACTACTATTAAAGTGTGAGAACAAAGAAAGAACAATATTTAAGAAGACAGGAGAACGACCGACATTGCATTTAAGTTTTTCAAGATCAAAGTTGACTGGGAAGCAAGAAGCTGGAAGAGAGTTCTACACGAGAAAAGTGCGATAGAAGAAACTGTCAGCATAGAACTTACGGTTATATGTAGCCATTTCAAATGCAAAATGATGAGACGTTTCCGCCAATCTAGTACTGCGCTTACATTTGATTAGTCTGAGTACCATAGCAAATAGCCAATCCGAACAATTAATATAAAAATATTTATAGAAAAGATACAGAAAGGCAACTTTAGAGCAGTGGGAAAATAACTGAAGCTGAGATGCCAGACCAGGACCAATAATATTGCTGATTCTTTTTTTGATTTTATCAAGGAGCTCAAGGTGAATAGCAGGGCACTGGATAATGTGGAAGCAATATTCTAAGCACGGATGAATGGTAGACTTCTAGATATATATGATAGATTCTGGAGAGAAAAATTGTCTTGCACGATACAGTGAACATACTTTAGAAACAGGTACTTGTACAAAGCCAATCTAGGTACCATAGCGGAAACTTCATCAGAACAATTACCATGGAAATATTTTATAGAGGGAAGATATTGCGGGATCCTTCTAGAATTCTGGCAAGATACCCACGGATTATAAATGGGAAAAATTACTTATTCCATCAATTAATAGTCTTCTAATTTTAATGCCTCTGGGTAGATTATCAGTGATGACAGTTGGTTTTGTGGATGAAGGCGTCGTTGAGTGATAATGTGTCTGAGTTTTAACAATAGGCTGTTCAGGAAATAATTACTTTTTTCTAAAAAGGTGTGTCAAATGTGATACTGAAATAAACATCATACTTATTATAAAACCCAGGTTGTGTGTGTGTGTGTGTCTGTACGTTTATATATTGGATCGGATTTCCTACATTTTTCAACAGATTTCAACAAAACTTCACAGGACTACGTAAAATTACCTTACAGTGGTTATGACAGCGCCAAAAATTGGAAAACACAATTGTTTTTGCATGAAATCAATTTGAAAACACAATTAAGAGGCATCGCGAGAATGAAAGGGGGACAACTCATATCGAGTTATACTTAAAACCCAGGTTGTTTGTTTGTGTGTGTGTGTGTGTGTGTGTGTGTGTGTGTGTGTGTGTGTGTGTGTGTGTGTGTGTTCATTTATATATGGGATCGGATTTCCTATATTTTTCAACCGATTTCAACAAAACTTCACTTTTTTTTTGGCAGGTAGTGTTTCTTATTGTCTTGCACACTTTTTTCTTTATTTTTACATTCAGAATGCTTTAAAATTCCATTTACAAGACAATTGTTTATAATAAAATTCTATTCAATCGGTAGACTCATAACGATTGAAAACAATGTTTTTGTTTGAGTTTGACCAATTCGTAAAAAAAAAAAAAAAAAAAAAAAAACTAATTAAGACATGCGTGTCCATCAACCTTAAACAATAATCTTTGTAATTTTATTTTTCAGTCTTTATGATGGTCAATACTTGATCTATCTCTTACCGTTACATCCACGGGCAACGCCGGGCTGTACTGCTAGTATAAAATAAAAATAAAATTAATATTACTTAAATACAAATAATATTTACAAAAAATAGGAAGTCAGTTTTTAAATTCCACGTTCCAAGAAATTTCACCTAATAAACAACGTCAAGAAAAGAAAGTTAAAATCGTGTAGATACGTCACAAAAGCCAACTATCATTTGAGTGTCATCCTACAAGCTACCAGCTTAGGGCACAAAAGAAGAAGCAGAAGTCGGAAGAAAACACGTGATAACAACGTCATTTAATGATCTGGAAGATCACACATAGAAAAACAGATATTGGCAGGCTTACGGCCATATCGCGTTGAAACACAGGTTCCCGATCAGCGAAGTTAAGCGACTTCGAATGTGATTAGTTCCTAGATCAGTGGCCACTTGAGATTAGCAGGTGATTCAAGATTGAATGTGAGCGTGGTATAGTGGATGATGGCTGGGAATTTTTAAAAACTGTGTTATTATATAATCTCATAGAATATTTTTAAAACTAGTTTATTTTTTAATCTCATCAAATATTTTTTAAACTCAGTTATTTTTTGATGTCATACAATATTTCTAAAACTTGGTTAATTTTAAATCTCATACAATATTTTTAAAACTGGTTTATTTTTAATCTCATACAACATTTTTAAAACTAGGTTATTATTTATTCTCATCCAATATTTTTAAAACACGTTTATTTATTAATCTCATCCAATATTTTTTAAACTTAGTTATTTTACATCTCAAACAACATTTTTAAAACTGGGTTATTTTTTTAATCCCATACAATAATTTTAAAACTGGTTTATTTTCTAATCTCATACAACATTTTTAAAACTGGGTTATTTTTTTTAATCCCATACAATAATTTTAAAACTGGTTTATTTTCTAATCTCATACAACATTTTTAAAACTGGGTTATTTTTTTAATCCCATACAATAATTTTAAAACTGGTTTATTTTCTAATCTCTTATTATTTTTCAGGTTTTAATATTATCATGTATTTTTTCTTTGATTTTCGGATTGAAATTTATTTTAATTTTAATGTTATACATTATCCTCTATAATTTAGCAAGTTTGGATCTTGTGCCAAACTAAGTTATAATGAGGGAATAAATATATCCATTAATAAGTATAAAACCTTTTTTCCTCTTTTTTCTTTCTTTTCCTAAAAAAAAATTACTTCCGGTTCTAATGCTTTTAAAAACTCCCGTATTCCCCTTCGGTTATATTACTCTCGGGAAAATCGATCGATGTATCAATCACTTATCTGTCGGCAGATGAACGCAGATCTATCGATTGCTTTTGATGTAAGATCACCTAGAAAATTATACGCTTGGGATTTTGGCTGATTGCAAAAAAGGAAGAAAAACAAAACATAAGTTCTCTAAGGAGGTCAGGAATATAAATGCTGACACGTTTCTCTGAAAGTTAAAACGAACGTTTCACTAACCCATATACGAAACCTTTTAGCATTCTCTTTCTTTCGTTTTCTCTCTCTCTCATAATAAAAGATTTTGAATGCAAGGCAAAACGCATTTCTTAACATGAAACAAAAACATTTAAAACATTTCCGAAAAATAGGGAATATATTAGGTAATTGTGTCATCGTGTTCCTGGTATTTGTAACTTTATATTTTCTGGCACATTTTAGCCATCAACTGCCTAAAAGATTGGTAGATATTAAAAAAAAAAACAGTGAAATGCATTTACAGAGAAAATAGTGCGAAAGAAAATCTTCAATATTCATAAAAAAATCGATTATGGTAAAAAACTAGTTCGGAATTGAAAAATAAGGAAATCTTCAAGAAAAAAAAGTATCTTCAGTTGAATGATGATGTTCAAAACATCAATCCTTAAAATAACTTTAATTTTAGCGCAGTGGTAGATTCGTTGCTAAGCCTCATCATTTTACACGCAAAATCGTTAGATGTAACCGTAAGTTCTATGCTAATAGTTTCTTCTATCGCAGTTTTCGCTTGTGGAACTCTCTTCCCCCATCTTCCTCAATGGTCAACTTTGATCTTCAAAAATTTAAATGCAATCTCAATCGTTATCTTCTGTCTTTTTAATTCATGTTCTTTTATTGTTCTCTTTATTAACATTTTTCTCATATTCTCTACAACTCAGTAAACCCTCGTGGCTTAGTGGCTTTTATGCCTTTCTTTGCAAAAATGAATAACTTCTAAAAAAAAAAACCAAAAAACTCTATAGTGCTGCGTATTTTTTTAATCAAGTTTGTCAAAATAATTAACAATTTACTCTTCGAGAATTATGCAACCAGAGATAAGTCTCTCTTTGGCATGTTCTGCAAGTTTTATCTGTAGACAAATAGTCCAGGAAAGGACATATCTTCATGAATCTTACAGTTAGGAAATAGTCATTTAGAATGATGCCCGCATCCTTAGAAAAAAAAAACACACCAATCACTTATATATAATGATACATTAATTGATGATGCTCGCTATTTACAGTTTAAATGAATATTTCTAAGGCCTTCAATGATTAAATATTTTGATGTGATGGACTGGCGTGCATGCTTCTATGACCCACAGAGCTATGCTGGTGGGGTATTATCTTCTAGAAGGTCGAATCAAGCCAAGAAGGTTAATGTATAAAGCTTAATTACCTGGAGGAGCAAAGCTCAATGACAAAGGAATACTGCGGACAGTAGCCATCCTGTTGTAATGATAAGGTAAGCATCTAGAGACTTATACACATTTATTATACTCAGGAGCACCTCGAGGTGTGTTAGCAAGCTTATCTCGCTTTAACAATTACGACTGAGTAGTGAGTTCGATGCTCACTGGGGGCCCCATTCTTTCGGCTTTGTGGCACATCAATTCGCATGGAAAATCACTATACTCTTAATACGCAGTGATCCATAAGACTCACAGTTAATTACAACGGCAAGGAGTGACCAGTTTCTACGATAGTTTCTAAACGGTGGTGGGGCCTCAATTTCGAAATTCTACGTACAATGTAAATGTGAAAGCAACTGGAAATGGCAGTATTAGAAATTGCATTTCTTCAAGCGCATCGCTAGTCGCGTTGGTCAACATCCCTACACAGAAGCCGCTAGTGTCCCGCTTGCGGGCTGTCCATGACAGCGCCAGTGGTCCTCTGGTGCCAGCCACCGGCAATGGGTCTCTACGCTCCGCCAGTGGTAATATTGCCGAGAAGAATACGCCTGCGGTCCGACAGCGGGCCACCAGCGATAAACGCTAGTGGCATGCCACCTAGTGGCATGCCACCTAGTGGCAGATTGGTGGTTTGCGTGTGGGGATGGAGCATTTCCAGAAGTTAGACTAGGATCCACAATGGTCACAGTGAAAATAATGGAAGAAGTAAATTAATGGTGTTCAACTTTCCTCGAAATAGATTGCTTAGCATTAATATTTGACTACTATAAACATTGTCTGAAAGCAATGATTAAAAATAGCTTTGAACATATGAACCCCTGAAGTCTTAAAGATAGCAATCTTTCATCGAGCCCTTTGAAAAAGAGGATTTTAAGTTCATATTTTATACTGTTAGTATAAGACGCTCCCCTATTTTGGAGAGGGGATTTTTTAATGTTAAAGGGTCGCCTTGTATACCAACATATACGGTATATATATATTACAACTGCTTGTTTAATGAATGCAGAATGTTTCCTATATAAAATCGTTTTCTCTTAACATTAAGTTTATCTTTACCATGGATTTAAACATTATCGTTACTGTGTCTTTCAGGTTAATATTGTTGCTTTTAATCGTAATGTTATTTTAGCGATCATTCAGTAAGCAAAATAATTTATTTGTATCCGTCTATATCTCTGTGATGAGGTATTATTACTTGCATTATTTACATTACACGAACCGTTATCCTCGTCTTCATTGCCATATTCACAAAGTTTCGGCCGTTGTACGCTCCGGCCTTCTTCAGGAGACTGGAATTTCGTACCGAACCATTTATTTCGTTCACCGGGGTAGATTGCTTTAATTCGACGTTCTATGACTCACTTATTTCCCTTGAAGTCAACTCTTCAAGTTTTTTGTTTCATAATTGCTGCGGCCTGGTATTGAATTCACAACTTTTTGGGTCTAGTCACTGGATCTAACCAACTTCTTTATCCACATGTCCCAGTGGTTCGCGATTCCAATCACCTGAAGAATAACGGGCGCACAACGCCCGAAATGTTGTGAATATAGCACTGGAGATGATTGTGGCACCATTTACGAGGCAGAAAAGGAAAAGAAAGAAAAGAAGGCAGAAAGAAAGTCGAGACGAATCGTGGGTGATCAGCAGAACACACACACGGCTAAGAGATATATTGATAAGCAACAAATGGCGAAAGGGTGTCATTACAATGACAGGGAAATTCTGAGTAAAAAGAAAGGGAAAGAAAGAAAGAATCAGATGTGTTTTGATAACGGCTGTGTTATCTAGAGGGGTACGCAAACAAACAGCTGGTCGACTGGCCAAAGAAAAAATTCAAGTGAAAATGTTATTTCGATAAGTGACGAAAAACAGGGACTTTGGGTAGATATGGAAAAATTAATCGCGACACACACGAAGTAACCACACTGACCGATTTTCTTGCTGCAGAACATCTTTATGCCTGCGATAATAAAATTATGTTATCAAGAAATGTTCGCCAAAGAAAAGTCCAATTGAAAACGTTAATTTTGATAATTGACAAAACACAGGTGTAACTACAGGGCTTTGGGTAGATATGGAAAAATTAATCGCGACACACACGAAGTAACTACACTGACCGATTTTCTTGCCGCAGAACATCTTTGGCCTACGATAATAAAATTATGTTATCAGAAATATGTACCGAAAGAAAATGAATGGGGGCCCAGAAGTGTTTTTTCTTCTTGCTTCGAGGCGACAGACTGACTGAAATTTTGGAGATGTTTCTTTTTTGAGGCCGTGTTAAGAAGACCACCCATTTTGATAATTAGCGATAAAATACCTGTCAAAAACCACGTGTAGAACAAGAGTTATGACCACCATTGTCATATTGTCCCGTTGCGGCTAGGGAAATGATAACGGCGATTAAGAGGAAGAAAAGGGAAAGAGAAGAGATATTTTTTTTTAGTTAAGCAAGATATTTTTTTCCCGAAACAAAGCCGCGGATTATCTACGCCCGACTAAGACATCATTGGTCGAATGGTGATCACGTGACGCACGAAGGAGGCTGTCGACGCCTCATCCAGAGTATAGGTATGAGAAGCTGCTACGAGGAAGTGGGGAGGGCAGTTCACGCCCCTCTGAAGTATGGTGAGAAAGTGGAAGTAAGGAAAGATTCCAAAAATGGAAAAGAGTGGAAAATCCCTAACCAGAAATAAAAGAGGTGGATATGTATTTAGAATTATCGAGGAATCCCCGACGCCGACAGACCCACCCCGGTTTTGGTCGGCGTCCATAAAAGCGAAGCCCCTACGAGCAGAAATCATTTCGGGCTCCAGCAGTTTCCAGAGTTGAGTTCCAGCAGTTCCAGTGAGTTCAGCTGACCAAGATTCACACAAATTCCGGACTCCTCTTCAACCCAATAACAATTATTTTGAAGAGCGACTTAGATCCAGACCACCGAAATAAGTTTTTTTCGACTTTCGTCCAAAGACACACCGAAACACCAATTTCTTAGAGAGCAAACAACTTGAAGCGTTAAAACTTGCCTAACGGAAAACGACGTGTCACAATCCACAGAACGGGTCGGGAGATAGATGCAGTCCTATGTCGAACAACTAGACATAAAGTTTGTTACCTTTTTCTTTGATACTTTGAACTTTTGAGTTTTCATTTTATTTTCTTTTATGCATATTTGTGTGGCATCACCCCCGTTTGCATTACGGTCCCGACTACTGATTGATCTCGTCTGCCTAAGATCAATTCACAACGTGGGTAGGCAGACTGGAGATCAATGCAGTTACCTTGGTAACCAGGCGTTGGAAGCGAGTTGGGAACGACGAGGCTGATATCAAATCTAACCAGATTCCCATCCGAATCACCAAAAGGTTAGAACGTCACATTTGGGTGCCGCGACCGATACCAAGCCAGTTGGTCGTCACAGGACGAGACAACACGACTGACGCGACAGGCGGACGTCACGTTTGGAGCAGCGACACCCGAACGGAGCAGCGAGGAGCGAACATCTGGCGCCGCGGCGAGGACGTCACAATTGGTGCTGTTTGGGGATGTCACAACTGGTGCCGTGGTAGATCAGGATAGAACGTCACAGTTGGCGCTGCGACCAGGGGACGACGTCAGGTGCTTACTGGAGCCGTATAGAGAACCGACCATTTTTCTTGCATCGATG